GAGAGAGAGAGAGCTGCGAGTGATTATCTCTTCTACCAAGATATAAGGATGATCGAGGTTGAACGTGCAAACGTGAGAGATATTTCACCAAAAGAATCGCAACCAAAGAAAATTTGAGCTGATGGGAGAGAAGACCCGGTCGCTGCGTACCTGAAGGAAGAAGAGAAAAGGGAACAGATTTTACTCTTGTTGGGCCTTGATTAATACAAGACATTGGGCTCAAATACTACATCCTCACTGGGCCATCACGTTCTCCATTTGGGCTAGAGAAATTAATCTCACAAAGGCTATGAAGAATACACTAACTTGGCCGGGGGTTCCTCTCGGATTCGATCAACAAATATTCGAGGCTCGGATCAATGCGGTGAAAATTAATCACATTTAGGCAAATTAGGCATTTAATATAAATAACAGTAATATTTATTTAATAATTAATAGGCATTTAAAAAAAATTAGACATATTAATAATAATAATAATAATAATAATAATAATAATAATAATAATAATAATAATAATAATAATAATAATAATAATAATAATGAAATAAATAAATAAACAAATAATCCCAAATATTTCACAAATAAACGGGGCATTACAATAACCGTTGGATTAAAGGAAATCTTATGGTCGACATTAATGCAACATTTATTGGGTGCACCACACGGATGATGAAGCGGTTATGCAGAAAGGACCTTTGGACGGATCTTGACCTGACAGTGTAGGAGATTTGAAATTTAAATGTCTAACTCGAGAATGACAACTTTAGGTCGATAAGAATGTCTCGATTAAATAAAAACAGCGAGTGAAGAGGTAGATTAGGTCAATTACGAGCTCAGTAAGTGGGACAAAGAGACCTCAGTTACTCTTGAATCGAGTTATCCTAACCCGACCAGAGTTTTGTCGTCCAGGTGATATGTGATTCTATACCGAGTTGACTAGACACGAAAAGCAGTCCAGCTAAACCAGGTGAACTGGCAGGCCGATCAGAAGACATAAACCACAAAGCTCGCTAAAACATTAGGTCGATGTTGACTCCACCAGATAAGAAACACGTCAACATGTCCAGCGAGGACCCTCAGATGACCTGATAGAAACTCGACCTAGAAGTATACAGGTTGGTGGATTGACCTAAAGGACAGTACACAAGCACATGGAGGAGACAATATAGCTCGATGCCAGCCAAGTTAGTCGTACATTGTCTAATAGAGCAGACTGAGAGACAAGAAAGATTATTATCAGGATAAGAAACACACATGGATTGAGACACATGGCCTAACAAAGGTAGGTAGTTCGGGAACTCAGACAATAAGAACGGGCAGTTCGGGTAACCCATCTGGACAGACTTGAGCAACAAGATACCACCCCAATATAAAAGGGGTGAGGTATGACAATTCAAACTCTACACATTCTATATGCTTACAGAGTTTTAAATACACTATTCATCGTCTTTTTAATTTGTGAACGGACTTGATCGTCGGAGTGCTAACGTCGGGAACACCTCCTGGCCCATTTTGACAGGTCTTCGAACAGGTCAGGGAGTAGATCCAAGTCGTGCGAACCCGATCAAAGTCTCTTTGCACACCACAAGTGAAAGGTGAAGGTGGAAACAAAAAAGACCTGGGTAACTGTTTTTCCTTATGTGCAAGTGAAACTCCAATTGACAAAGGAATTCGGGTTGAACTCTTTCTGTAATCGGGCATGGAGCTTGCTACTGATTATACTAGGCCTAAATGAGGAACCAAACCCAACAGGCCACGACAAAAAAAAAGCAGGCTCTAAATATTTTCTTTTTCGTTAGAAAATGACCTCCATTTATTTGAAAAAATACACACGCATCTACAAATTTATTCTCGTTTTTACCCTTAGTTTTTTTTTTTAAAAAAAAAATATAAATATACTAATAGTGAAAAGCTGATTTAAGTTTTTTTTTTTTATAAAAAAAATATAAATATACTAATAGTGAAAAGCTGATTTATGATTTATCTTACATTTGGGTATAATTTGTGTATAGATTTATTTATAATGTGGTACTTAAAATTATTAGTAATTATGTAAAAGTTCCATTTTTTTTTGTTTTTTGTTTTTTTTTTTTTTTTGCAAGGCATTTATTTACTTTTTATTTTAGAGCTATGAAGCAAACATAAGCTATTGGACAAAATTAAAGAATTTTTAATAAAAAAATACCAGTTGAGTACATCGGGTGCTTCTCCAAAACAAGTCATAACTCATAACCTTAAAGCTAGGCTACACCACGATTAGTATCTTCTGAGATAAGGTTAAAATTAATGATACAATATGGATTAAAAAAGAGAGAAAATTAAGTATATTGAACACGAAAGATGCTAATGATCACAAACCGATCAACTAGCATATAATACGACTTGGAATCAAAGACACCACACCACATCACAACTTGGTATATATTAGTAAACCCCAATATAATTATAATTATAGTACGTATGAACTATTTATTCTCCATAGCATCACACTGACAGACTTATTACTACACATTATTTAGCATCACACTGACAGACTTATTACTACACATTATTATATCATAGCCTACATTTGATTTCATGCATCAACAGTTGATTTTATATATTTTGATGACTTTAATGTTTGCGGAGGTAGGATTCGGCAATCGCCCCACCACCTCCATTGGGCAAGAACCCACCCGGCTTATGCACGTCTCCCGACCCATACACGATGGCCAAAATCTCCTATGGAGTCCGTCGTATGCCACTGAATTCTCGTTTCCAGCAAGCACATTCCTTGCAATTTTGCCCTCGGCGCCTTGCGACTTATCAACTACTATGCCCTCGTCTTTCTCACCCCCTGCCCTCCGAGATTGTCCCTCAGGCTCGAGATCTTGCTTGTAAATTCCGACACCTTAAATCTGTACGGTTTTACAAGTTGATCGGCTCTTTCGTACAACATTTCCCGTATCACTGCATCCTGTCCTGATTCCACCTCCAAAAGACCCCCGACCAGCTGAATTAATTTAAAACACACACAACGTTATATTAGTGTTGTTAATTTATTTCTTAAAATCATATCGACCATAGTTTGGTTTAGAATGTTGCAGTGTCACCTTTCTATAAGTGGGGTTCTACAAGCAAGGAAATGCCCCAACGTATCCGGTTAGTCCGACGTATGGGATGGCATACGACGCGATAAGATAGTTTATGTCGTTCTGGTAAGGGTTGAATGGGGGCTCAAGTGTCTCCCCGAACGCATTGTCCATAATATTTGCAAATACGCTGCTACAAGATCGAGTTGTGGTCTTGGGAATCCAGGTTTGCCGGTATTTATTCTGTAGTGTTCCTTGTATCGCCCTACGCACATTAGTAGATATTTAGATATATAGATATTATATATACACATGCAATAATTGACTATTATATATTTTCAAATTATATATATACAACTTGCTGACTATTAGCTGATTAGCTGATAGGGGATTGCATTAACAGATTTTAGGTGATAGCGGATATTGTGGTGCCATTATACAAATTTAATATTGGCATATAATATTCTACAAACACTCTATATTGAGATTTTTTTTTTTCACAATTATTCTGAGATACTAATCAAATAAGCTATTTATCAAACAAGATAGTTAGCGGATTTACTACCGTATAAATGAGTTAGAGGTAGACTATTAGTATTACACACATACATACATACAAACACAAACAACACACACACACACACATACAAACACACATAACACACACACACACACACACACACACATATATATATATATATATATATATATATATATATATGAAAAAAGTGAGATGATCCACAACCTGAGATGTTTGACTTCCTGATAAGCCATTTGTTTGATATTGTCGAGAACATACTGGCCGAGGTTGGCCTTAGTGCAGCCGATAGGCCGTGCGCCGTTCATGGCGATCTGGCGAGCTTCGTGGTCAAGGCCATAGCCGAACGCACCACATAAGAAAAATTCGGCCTCCAAGTACTCCAGATTCAAGGGAAAAGCCATGAGTTCATGATCGTAAATTAAGTTGCATTTCGACATTGGTGGCCAACCTGGAGAACCTTTCGGATAGCCGACACAGAGGTGGAGGAGGAGGAGGAAGGTGGCGGCTGATGCGGTGGTGATGAAAAACGCCATATATATGAGTATACTTTGGTTGATTTTAATTGTGCTTGTGTATGTGGTGATTCGAGTGGTGATTGGAGGCGCTTATTTATAGTAAGTGGGACAATAAATAGTGTCACACATTCTTATTTTTACTTTTACTTTGTTATCTTTTCCTTTTGATTTTTTTATTAGTTTTATCGTCCATAACTATCTACAATAGTAATTCTTTGTTCTTATTCATAAACCAACCAATGTTATCATTTACTTTTCATATTCTAATAAATATATTAATACACATATTCTTACACTTATATAACATTTTAGACGCTGTTAATATTTCATATAGACATGTTTTATGACGTTTTTCAAAACGTTACTATTCGCAAGACATTTTCAACAAACTAACATATTATATTACATTAATGACCCTGTATTTTTAATTTATAGATATTATTTATTAATACATATCAGAGTATCAACTTCTTCATACACTTTTATATAGTTTGATTCATTTTCGTATTTATCTAACCAATATTAATTTTTTTTCGAAACGATAGAGAATATGTATAACAAACGCACAAATATGCAAAGATACAACCCAAAGTTGAATAACACAACCCTACACTGACACTAGCAAAAGCTAGAAACCAAACAAGACACTCAGGACAACAAAACAACAAACACACTAAAACTACAACTAAAATCTCCCCACAAGAGAATAGAAATAGAAGCGTGTCCCCACAGGATAATCAATTTTCTCCCACTCACACAAGAGCCAACGGCCCAGACCAAAGAGACAAGACATAAACACTCAGGCAAAGAACCCAGACAAAAAATATTTAACTAACACAGACTCAAGGCACAACAAAAAGAAATAAAAAAACAAGCCCTTCCCCAGCAAACGAAAGAGCTCGACCCGTAGTGAAACGATCAACACAAGAGAGATTCCAGGTTTGAGCAGCGGCTATCGAAACTACAAATCGCCTATACAGTAGAATCAACCGAACCCCAAACTAATCCCTGAATCGACCCGTCCCCAACCAAGAGAGAAACGACTAGCTCCCACACCTGACCTGCCCGAGCTCGTCAAACACCACTAGCCGAGCTTCAGAGAACTATAACCCCCGCTGCCTAACACCACTAGACACACATGGGAGGGTGAGAATGGCACGCCCCCTCAACTCCAAACGCTGAAACAGGCTGTCGCAGCACTGGAGTCCCGCCCCATCCGTTACCACACGCGCTGCCCAATACCACCACGGAGCACCACCGTCCTGAAGCCAGGCCCCACCATAACGGCGAGGCCCCACTAGAAAAGTGCATCCCAACAGCTGCAGAAAAGAAGAGGTGAGGAGCTTACCTCCACAGCGCAGCTCCCTCCAGCAATTGAGGGGAAACTTGATTCGCCGGCCGAACGCCGACCAGGAGAGTCGCCACCACCAACCGGAGCCCCATCTGCTACCACCTGAGCGGGACACCAACTGCATCCATGGCCAAATCAGGGCACGCCACATCAGGAGAGGAGCAGGTGGTGAAGAACGACTACGGGCCTTGGCATCTCCATCACCGAGGAAGGCTAAATCGGAAGCTGGAAGAAAAGCCGGTCGGATTTGGGAAGGAGAGGGTTTCGCCGATTTTGGGAGGAGAGATTAATTCTTGATTTATATTAATTTCATATTATGTCGTCGGTCCAAATAATAAAATTAAACCATTTAATGATGTTGAATCCAACACAAAAATAACAGAACATTGAACTTTTCAAAATATGTTCATCATTTTCATCTCATGTCGAAATTACAAATTTTAATGTGAACCTTAAATATCTCATATTTATTAAATATATGTACATATTTTAAAAAAGCATGACGATTCATATAATTAATTTTAGCATATATCATATGTTAGATGTTATTGGTTAGGCTGAAGACACTCATTCTATTCAAATAAATAATATATAACTTTTATTTTCATATGTATTTATTTTGTTGCAATAATAAGATGTTAAATATAAATAATTATGTATAAAATAAAATTTTAAAAATATGATTTGAAGTAATATGCTCTCGCACGGGATGTGCACTAATAAATCAAGAAATCTAAATTTGTTTTCTCACACGAGTTCAAAATGTTCATGTTACAGTCAACGTCAACCACGCATGTGGTTGAAATTAATTAATTTTAATGATGAGCTTGAGGAAAATAAAAAAAAAAAAGGTTGAAGAATATGATGCCTCTTTGATAAAATTGCCTATCGCATGCCAGTGCATGATTTTCCTGATATTTTTACTGTATGAAAAGTGAAAACACAAACGAACAGTAGATTTAGTTAAATATTATATATGTAAAGTAATGATCAACAGAAAATTAAATAATTTCAATAAAAAATTGTAACCACTCTTTTTTTTTATGTTAATCATTTTTTACTATTAACACAATAAAAAATTGTAACCTCTCTTTTTCTTTATATTTTACTTTTTTATTTTTCGAAACGATAGAGGTTTTGTAAGAGGCACAAAGGTGCAGCCAAAAGTTGAAGGATACAACCAATAACTGAAAAACTAAGAGGTCAAACCCGAGTATCGCCTAAAGTCTAACTAGCAACGCTAAAACAACACACTCATAACACATACCATCATCAATGATCCCAACAGAATAATGTCCGCTCAAAAACATATGCCAACCACGCAATTCATTTTAGGGTCAAAATCTTTTTCACCCCATTATAAATCTATTCTTTCTTTTACACACCGCCCCATCAAATAACTTCTTTTACACCCCAAAACTCACGAAATGCTATGCGATATTACACTCGCATGTCCAAATGAACCAGCTCATATCCAATCGACCGCATAATTTATGACAATGCGTAAACATTTCGCATTTTTTTAATCGCATATCCACATCAAACGCATAATTTAGAAATGTGCGAACATCTTTCGCATTTTTAATAATCACATATACAAATCGATTGCAGCATAATTTACGATGATTATGCGCCTTCTTATCGCAGGGCTATATCAACCTTGCAAATTTATGACTGCGAAAATATTTCGCATCTAATTCGCATAGTTTGTTGAATACGCATTTTCTGGTAATTGCATATCCAAGTCAATCGCATAATTTACTAATATGCGAAACAATTTCGCATATATCCTCCGGATAATTGACAATTACGTGACATTTTTTCGCTTGCATATTTAAGAATCGCATAACCAAATCGATAAAGCATATTTTTTTTGACGATTATGCGCCATTTTTTCGCAGGGCCATATCGACCTGGCAATTTTACGACTATTCGGAATTCGTTCGCAGATCTTTCGTATAAGTTGTGCACCTCATTAATTAACTGCTTTTTCACAGGTGAGGATTTGGTCTCTGCATTTATCATGCAGGCAAAAAAACAGCGATCTCTAACAATTTAACGCCTGCACCATTCATCTACTGCATTTTTCTGTTTCTTTTTTTTTTTAGTTCTTTTTGTTGTTCACTTATTTGAATGGCTAGAAACCGTGTTAGAGTATTGGTGCACTTTGGTGGTTCGTTCTGCGAGGGTTGATATCTTGGTGGAGTGGCAGTGCTGATGAGAATAAATTACGACCGACAAATGTATTCTGAAGTAGTTTCTCGTGTTCAAGCCTTATTGAAGGCCAATCCTTGTAATTTTGAGTACATATTGTGGGCAGTATTTGATGGAAGGGAACGAGTTATGAAGATGAAAATCGAATCCAGTGAGGATATCTTAGAGCTGATTGAAGAACAAAGAAATCCCAACATTTACGTGGAGTTGGAGAAGCGAGTAAATGTAGGGATTCCGGGGACGGCGCAACAAAGCTTCACGCAAATGATGGCGTCCCAAGGTGTATCTCCGAGTTCTTTTGGTATTGGTAGTTCTGCATTTTCCCACGAGGCCCCATATTCACATCAAGCAGGCCTTAGTTCATTTGCACATACTGGATAGCCTCGGGGCGCTGATGATCAAACCTCGGGTTGTTCGAACCAACCAGCTCATTCTCGTGACGATGACAATAATGATGACCAAACCAACACGCACAATGGTGACTCAGGCGACGAAGACAAAGAGGTCAATGAGAAGCAAATTTTCGTAATCCAGGTACAATTGTCGAATTCGGAATTGGGTTGACCTACACACATCACACATGTCCCATAATAATCGCACAATTGAGTTGATTGCGCGTTTCGCATAATAATGTTGATTGTGCAATTCGCATAACATGTAACATAATAATCGCACAATTAGGTTCATTGTGCGATTCGCATAACATGTCCCATAATAATCGCACAATTGGGTTGATTGTGCGATTCCCATATCATATCCCATAATAATCGCACAACTGGGATGATTCGCCTAGTCTTCAACCGCATAATTAACGTATCGTATATCCAAATCGAAAGCCGTATAATTTACGACTATCTGCCATTTTTTTCGCATATCCATATGGACTGCATTGATTGATTGTCTGCACCGCATATCAAAATCGAAAGTGCTTCGCATATTATTCGCATACGTTACGCACCGCATTGATTGATTGTCTGCACCGCATATCCAAATCGAAAGTGCTTCGCATATGTTACGCACTGCATTGATTGATTGTCTGCACAGCATATCCAAATCGAAAATGCTTCGCATATTGTTCGCATAAGTTATGCACCCATTGATTGATTGTCTGCTTTTACACCTAAAAAACAATGACGATTTGCATGCTTCCTCATTTAGTTGTTGAGTTGATGTATATCTACCTAGCCTTAAATGCTAAATGTATTCATTAACCTTTCATTCTCTTTGTTCAAGAGGCGACCTTTCACTTCTCAAAACCTTATCTTTCCATCGCAGCCAAAAAAAAAAAAAAAAACCAAGGAGGCGCATGTTTGCGAAAAACAAAAATGTAAAGGATTTTACCCTATGAAAAGATCGCGATCCGCTTCCGTGGCATGGACTGGACAGAGGAGGAGGAACATATTTGCTACCAAGTGTTTTTCAAATGGTGTCGTCAGAAGGCAGACATACACAA